TACCCTTTTCATTTCCACCTTTTTGGTCCGCCAACCTACCCCCCACCCCCCTTCCTTTTTCAGAATGCATTATGTTGGGCTCAAATGATTTTGGGCCTGATTTGGGAACGTTGGGCTGGATGTAGACTGAATGTTTGTTTTCAAGCCGGGGTAGCTAGGCCGACTATTTTTATTATGAAGACGCTAATTATTTCTTGATCAAGTACCGAAAATATTTAAAAACGTGGATTTTTTTAAATTAAAAATAGTATATATAGAAAATAATTTCAAACATCTAGTTGTTTGGAACCAACAGTCCCTCCGAACTGTCCCATACTGGTGAGACCTAACTTGCAAAGTGTATTTGTGAAAACCTATTTCCATCTTCGCGCGTTCTTTTTTGTTTATTTGGCTCCCAAAGGGGGGGGGGGGGGGCAATCACGTAGGTTGGGTCCCACAAGTAAGATGAAAAAAGTAACACCTCATGGGTTTTCCTAGAAACCCATTTTAGAGAATTTTTCTTTTTGAAGAAAATCGGTTTCACTTTAATAGTTTTTGCTTGCTTATGTGTCTAAGCTTTAGAATTATGATTATTTATTTTCTTTGATGTTTGTTTGAATAGACTACACTGAATTTAAATTTTCATATTGATGATTGAATTGACAGGGAGCAAATGTAATCCAAAGCTAAGTTGAATTTTTATATTATTTGGACCGATATGAAACCAAGCTTGACTTGAGAAAATATATTATTTCAAAAGTGAAAAATACTTGAAAAACAGCCCTATAAAAGCAAGGCAAATAATTTGCTCCCTTATGTGTCTAAGCTTTAGAATTATGATTATTTGTTTTCTTTGATGTTTATTTGAATAGACTACATTGAATTTAAATTTGGGAAAATTGTTTGGGAGAACCAAATTAAGTTGGGTCATTCATCCTCACCCCAAGCCCAAAAAGCATAACCAAAAAACCCTTATACAGAAAAAGAAATACAACAAGCCCCCAATATGAATACAAATACACTACCCTAAAAAGTATCCCCAAATTACCCTTCCCAATTCACTATACCACCCTTTCTGAGCACTGTTATCAAAACCACCTGTAACAAATTTCGAGACCATCTTCCCTTTCGAAACCCTCTTCTTCCCAAAACCGCCACCAACGACAACGCTTGGGAACCATCTTCGCCGTCTTCGTCGAAGACCGTCGCCGCTCGTCGTATTCTTCGAATCTTCCTCTGAAGACCGCCGCCGCTCGTCGTCGTCGTTTTCGTCTTCGGTGACTCACATTAGAACCGACTTCGTCGACTTCATCTTCATCGTCTTTGTCGAAGACCGCCGCCGCTCGTCATATTCTTCGAAACCCTCTTCCTCTCAAGACCGCAGACGCCCCTCGTCGTCGTCTTTCTCTTTAGCGACTCACCTATGAACCATCTTCGTCGACGCTCGACCGCTGACAAGATCCCCCCCCATCGCAAGCGAGTCACTGGAGTCCCTCTGCCAAACCGAACAGTGACACTTCGCATGACCAAAAAGGCTTGAGTGACTTCCTCCGCGCTGCTAATCCCAGATGATTCGCGTAGCGCGATCGAAGACTGTGATCTGGCTCCGTCTTTGTCCTATCGTTCACCGCGATGAAGAACTTCGTAATCGTTAACGGATGCTGCTTCCTTGGATGACATTTTTACGGCGAAAACCCTAACCAATATTGAAATCTAACGAGTTTTTTGAGTTTGAGAATTTTGATGGCTCCTCAGCGGTAGAAGAGAGAGGGTACTTGAGTAGGGAGAGGGCATGGTTACCAAGTTCAATCAAATCAAAGGGTGAATTTGTAACTTTCGCTGAGCTTTTCTCGTGGTCCGCTACTTTGGGGCATTAACACAAATACGGTGTGTATTTGAGGCTGAATCACATGTGCCAAAATATAAAGGACCAGGTCACATGGGGTTACTACTTTTGGGGCCTCGACACATTTTTTTCTTTCTAATATACTAGTTTTCATGCCCGTGCAAAGTACGAGTTGTTTTATAACTTTACTTTCTTAAACAGTTAAACCTGTAAGCAAATTCATTAATAAAACTAATTACTTAAGAATCTAACTAATTGTAATCAGAAAATAATGATAATTATGTACCAATAATTATTAATCACTGAATATTACTAACAATCAACCCATAAGCTTATTACTATCATTACCAAACATGAATATTACTCATAATCAACTCACAAGCTTATTGCTATTATTACCAAACATCTAAATTTAGACCTTGTTTAAGAAAGACAATCAACTTATACATCCTGGAAGATGATGGCTATGTAAGCTTTTTACTATCATTAACAAACATGAATATTACTCATAATCAACTCACAAGCTTATTGCTATTATTACCAAACATCTAAATTTAGACATTGTTTAAGAAAGACAATCAACTTATACATCCTGGAAGATGATAGCTATGTAAGTTTCTGTGCCATTTTTCAATGATATATACTTCTCGCGAGCTTGTTTGACAAAATACAGACAAGAAGTGGTTGTTTTCAGAATCCCAATGAGAAATTGCGAATATCTTAGAATCAAAAGAATCACCAAAATAGATAATTAGAATCACATATATCATAAAAGCGAACCTGAGATATTATTATATGTACCCGGTTGATGAAGTTTACCATGTGTACATATCCTCAATTTGATAGTCTTAGAATCACATATATCATAAAAGCGAACCTAAGATATTATTATATGTACCCGGTTTATGAAGTTTACCATGTGTACCTATCCTCAATTTGATAGTCTAAAAATTAAACACAATACAAATGCCAAAGAAAAAACCCTAAAATTGCAGTTGCATTTGATAAAAAAAAGAGTAGCTTTTTATTCAAATTCACCTCCACTAGTATTTCTTGAATTGGATAGTGAATAAATCTAGAGAACTTCATGAAACAAAAATGACAACTTTGAATGCAATAAATGTGATAAATAAAGCTCCCTAATACGTAGTGAAGGCAAAGATCAGTTCACTAAACCCTAGGTATACTTCGTATCGAAACTTGAAATTTGCAGTAAAACTTAGTAAGATTATGAATTACTCACATGGTTCTAAGCCAAATCAGGTATCTTCTCCATCTCCTGAATTCCATAAATGATGAACAATTTCACAAATCAACAACAATTTCACAAATCATGAACAATTTCAAACCAATCATTATAGCTTTTTCACAAATCAACAAAAATCTCATTCTTGAACAGACCATAAAGACTCAAACTCACCAAATTCCGTCAATGACTTCAAAATCAACTTTAACGTCCGATTGTGCTTGGCCACTTCCAACATAGAACCCATTAATAACCAAATCAAGAACAAATAAACTAAGTAACTAACTTACACCGAAATCCCTATATCTTCAACATCAACCATGATGAAAATGTGATAAAAAAACAAAATCAACCAAATGAGTACCTGAGGAGTAGTTGAAAGCCGAGATTTGAGGCTGAGCAATGGGATCAGAGTTGCTAGGGTATCAGCTAGATCCAATCAAGGGCGGCAAGGTCCGATCAGTGGTGGCAAAGGTGCAATTGGGGTTTCTTTTCTATTATCGGATTTGAAGATGGAGGTTTCTGAATTGGGATATGTAGAGAAAAGAAGGGATCTCGATAGGAGATGTTGTTTAGAGAGAAAAGTGGTGATTTTAGATAGCAGTTATAAAAAGAATGGCGAGTTTTCTAAAAAACAGAGGAAACCTGGGAGTTACATGTTGGTTTATAGTTGGTTGTTTATTTAGAAGACGTTGGAGTATTTTTTAGTTATTTCGGGAAAAAAGTGGAAATAAAGTTGGTTAAGGACTGAATTTTCTATAAAAAAAATATTTTTTAAAAATAACCCGATTAGTACAAATCAGATTTACTGTTCACATTGTTCTCCTTTAGAGCCTATTTGGATAATGAAAGTATTAAAAATAAAAAGTAGGTTATAGAAGTAACTTTCAAAACTATGAAATAAGAAGTAGTAGAAATAACATTTTTTGTTTGTTTCATATATTTTTAGAAGTAATGGAAGTAGAACTTCTTCCTCTTCATTTATTTCTTTTGTTGGGATAACATTTGGAAATATTACTAGAAAGTAATTAACACATGTCACTTCCACAATTTCAAAGTCACGCCACGCTCTTTAATTTGATCTAGCACGTTACAATCAGCTTCATGCTGCTATGACCCCTCGCCACTTGAGAGCAAGAAGAATCCTTCAACCACATAACTTCAAAATAATTGTTTACCTCTCGCCTACGATAAGACCCCGGATGATCATAAATTCCTATGAGTCTCCAATTTCCCTCCTCCCTCGCTCCATTGATCGTAACATCAACGTGGTATTTAGACAAAGAATTAATAGACAAACTGTTCTCTTCATCCCAAAGAAAAGCTGTTCGACAACCATCACAAATTACTACCAAATAATTGTTAAAATTAAGAGAAATTTTATTAATGAAAAGTTGTTAGAAGTAACTAATAAAGGAAATATTAACAAAAAACTATTTATTTCCTAATTAATATGCATTTCAACTACTTCCGAGCTACTTCTGAGTATTGAGAATTTAAAAAAATATTTTAAAAGTAAGGATGACATATATGCGCCACCACATAAGCATTTAAGGAAGTATTAGAAGTAAATTTTTCAGAAAATCAAACATATTTTTTTGTTTGGAAGTAACAGAAGTAGCATCTACTTCTTTTACTTCAGCCACTTCATAATTACTTCGGTGCAAACAAACATGCCCTTAGTTAAAAAAAAGTAGTAGATAGTAGTAAAAAAAATAGTTTAATGGATTCTGGTTTTAATTGGTAGATTAATCCATTTATTAAAGTAATAAAATTAAAATGAAATAAAATTCATCAAAACCAGCTAATGGTTACCTGTCAAGCGTCAAAGTAGGTGCAGATTTTGGCCCACAAAGTTTTAAGTCTCCGTAGCGTTCCAATTAAAGTCACGATATTTGCACGTGCAATTAAAGTTGGTAACTTTACCACCCCTCCACCTTCGCTCCCCCTCTTTCTCTCTCCAGCATCATTTCTAGGGTTTCAATCTCTCTCCGCTTAATTCCTCCCCAAAAAAATAATTTAAAAAATAAGACAACTCCATTAATTTTTCTCTCAAAAGTTCTCGATCGAGGACACCTTGATGAAGCTAACAGTGAAGACTTTGAAGGGGACGCACTTCGAAATCAAAGTGCAGCCCAATGATACGGTATATCATTCAATCGATCTCTTTTGATTTTTTTTAATAATTTGAGTTAGTTTCTCGTACTGTTCGATTGGGATTTCGTCTGAAAAGATAACGAGCATTTGATTGAATCTTTTCACGTTTTTTATTTATGTATTTTCCGTGTAAATTGGTGCAAGATTCGTAGAATGGAAATTTTATGAAAGATTGTTCCACTTTTTGGGGTAAAAATTGCAGTTAGAAGGTATCTTTCATGTTATCGAGAGTTTAAAAGACGTTCAGTTTTCTGATACTCTTTTACCCCAACAAGAATGCAGCATTGCTGAACACATTTAATATTTGACTTGGGTATAATTATCAGTTGAATTTGAAAATGTAGTGGCATTAGTCGAACCCAATTTATTATTTCTTTTGGTTGCATTCTGCTTGTTTAAAGCTGCGGTGAACATATATCTCATTTGTTCGCTGAGAAAAAGTTGATAGTAATTGACTGATAATTTGTACTTATATTTAAATAGTTAAACATAATTTATAAATCCAGGCTAGAGTTTTTGGTTTGGGCTTCCCTAATTTGTACTGGAAAACCACAACTTTGTAACTACATTATCTGAAATTGAAGGATGAAGTTGTTATCAGCAATGAGCCTCCACAGAGATTTGATCCTACCCATTGGAATTCTGTACATATCACAATGGAAACTGGAAAGTTTGAAAAAGTTGGGTTTTTTTTGGGAGATTGAGTGCAGGTACTACTTAATTACTTTCCACGTACAGAGAATATAAAACATCGTTTGATTCTATGAGAATTTTTACGAAAGCATCTCATTTGATTCTCTTTCACGGCTTTTCTATTCCCAGAATATATCCTATTTCTTGGCCTATTTATTCATGATTTAATAAAAAATAAAGATGTGACATCCATACTCGAGTCCTTGATTTATGCTCCTCAGTCCATTGTGATTGCATGGTAGATGAAAGTTGGAAGCTAAGGTTGTGGTGTAGTTGAATCTGTAGAATTATTGGTCAATGGTCAGTGAA